AGTTGGGGCTGTTTAGCCTGGAGAAGAGGAGGCTGAGGGGAGACCTGATTACAGCCTACAAATACTTGAGAAAAGATGGTGGGGAGGTGGGGGAAGGGCTCTTTACATTAGTGTTGGGTGATAGAACAAGAGGAAATGGGTATAAGCTTAGTCAGGGGAGATTCAGGTTGGATGTTAGGAAGTATTTCTTCTCTGAAAGGGTTGTCAGCCCCTGGAATAGGCTGCCCAGGGAGGTGGTTGAGTCCCCATAGAATCATAGAATGGTTAGGGCTGGAAGAGATCTTCATAGGTCATCTAGTCCAACCCCCCTGCAACAAACAGGGATATCTCCAACTACATCAGGTTGCTCAGGGCCTCGTCCAACCTGGCCTTGAATGTCTCCAGGGATGGAGCATCCACCACCATCCTGGATGTGTTTAAGAATAGGGTGGATGATCTACTTGGGGATATGGTTTAATGGGGATTAGGGATGGTTGGACTCGATGATCTCTAAGGTCTTTTCCAACCTAGAAATCTATGAATCTATGAAAATCTTTACTTCGTAAATTTCAGATCTACTTCAAACTATGCCAAGATTGTCAGTTTCCATATAACTGCATCAACTTTTCAGCATGAAAGCTGCATAAATGTCATTAACAAAAAATAATTTCAATTTTTGTCTTGGCATGCTATGAAAGTTACGGCACAAATGACTGTGTCTTGCCTCTTCCTCTGTGCTGCCTCGTTCAGCTCTCCTTTCCTCTCTTTCTTTTTCCATATAGGGTATAAGGTGGCCAACTGCTTTCTTCATAACTCGAGCAGACTTTATCACCTGCATAGATAAATAGAGGGAGGGAAAATAAAAAATAAAGACCAGGTATAGGAATAGCCTCAGATTTCTTATAGCTTTCTTTTCTTCCCCTTCAAACAGTAAACAAAACTTCATTTGTAAACCCAGATTCCAGCTCTGCAGAGCGTTCTGTGGCAGTAAGCTGCTGGTCCTACTGGACTAAGGCTTTACACATGACACTTGCTTTAACAGGGCAACCTCTCAGACCACTCACAATAGAGTTGGAAGCTACAAACAGGCCCAGGCTTGGAAGGTGCTAAACATAACAGTTTTTATTTGGATCTTTTTTCTCTCTTGCTCTTTTTCACAGGCTTAGACTTAAAACTACATTTCAAATAAAGGTAAACCACCTAGTAAGAAAGGAAACAAACATGTAAAACTACAGAAAGAAAGTCAAGTTCCAAAGTAAAGAAAAAAACGGGCTACTTCTTAGCAGCACCTGAATTTTCAAAATTCACATGCTGTATCTGAAAAAAACAACCAGCATAGAATGTTTCGGCTACAGTTTACAATGCCAGTTTTTGCAAAATAGGAAAATATATGAAATCATTTTCTCATTACCTGAGGTAGAAACATCTTTCCAGCTCCAAAAAGATCACCAACGATCTTCATGCCATTCATCAAAGGCCCTTCAATTACATTTAGAGGTCTGGGATATTTTTGCTGATTTAATCTTGCTTCTTCTGTATCTTCTGTGACATACTTCTCGATGCCCTGGGAAAAAAACTGAGACGCTTTTATCTTGCTAGAAATACAGCTTTTAGTTAGTTGCCTTCTCTCCACCAAAAAAACACAATGAAAGTACGAACAGATACTTTAGATACAGCTAGTCTTTAAGAGTACTTCAAATGTGTACTTAAAACAGGTTTTCTTCAGAAACAGAACACTGTGTAGTTCTTAGGCAGGCATATAAAATTATTCAAAGCAAGAGTCCCCAGTATTAATAAGTTGGTTTGTTTTTCTTCAATATGTCGTAAGAAAAACCAAAAATTCAAAGATTGTTTCCTCAGCACAAGTGGCACGCATTGCAGTACTGTTAAAGGACCAAAATAAAACTCGAGAAAGTAAAAGCGGCATGTTACTACCAGTACTAGTGGAATAAAACATTAAGGGTCAAAGACTTCAACTTGTGAAGCTTAAGACAAATGACCACAGTTTTCTCTGTTAGTGAAGTTCATTAAATATATTAATGAAATATATTATTAGTTAACAGCTTTTACAAGAATGGCAGTTGAAGAATTTTTAAAGCCAAAGGGTCCCTTAAAGTCTGAGCTAAGATCAAGTCTCGGAGACCTGATGGGTAGGAAAATTTTCTGCACAGATTCACCTTTATGAGAGCATATTCCAGCCTTTCCTCGACGGAGCCTTTCCGCCACTCATCCGTCAGTACAACTTTTTTCCCTCCTTGGGCATGATTCTGAAGAGGAAAAGACATGCACAGGAGCTTGCAAGCTTAAAAATTACAACCATTGACTTTACTTTTAGAAAACTGAGGATCATTTCAAGTACTAACTCCTAAAATTATTTTAGATTATTCAAAAGGTTTTTATATACATGCAAATCATATTGCAAATACCTGTGATGTACTACAGACACTTAGGAGGTATATATCCCAAAGAGTATATAGCTCAATAAAGATGTAAACAAAACAAAGTAAAAAGTCTTTTTTTTAAAACAAAGAGAGTAACCAAAAAAAGAGAGTAACCAAAAAAAGAGAGTAACCAAAAAAAGAGAGTAACCAAAAAAAGAGAGTAACCAAAAAAAGAGAGTAACCAAAAAAAGAGAGTAACCAAAAAAAGAGAGTAACCAAAAAAAGAGAGTAACCAAAAAAAGAGAGTAACCAAAAAAAGAGAGTAACCAAAAAAAAGATAAACAAAAAAAAGAGAGAAACAAAAAAAAGAGAGTAACCAAAAAAAGAGAGTAACCAAAAAAAGAGAGTAACCAAAAAAAGAGAGTAACCAAAAAAAGAGAGTAAAAAAAAAAAAAAAGAAAACCAAAAAAGCAGAGGGAGCAGTTCAATAATTTTCACACTCTTAAAAACAATAAAAGGACTAATCCTAAGGGTTTTACTTCTGGGAACATAATTTAAATTGATTCCTGGCCCATCCACTACACTTCATTTTAAAATTCTAATTAATTTGGCACTAACTCCGTTTCTGCTGGAATAGGTTGTTATTCCATATCATGGATGTGTTTTCAACCACGTGGCCTACAGAACTACTGCTTCTCACGCACACAGACCACCCCAAACCCTCGCACACCTCTCTTGGCCTCCCACTCCCCTTTGCTATGAATGCAAAGGCCAAAAGGAAGGAAGGAAGCTCATAAGCACCCACCCAGGAAGGCTTGTGGAAGAGCATGGTATCCACTACTTCAACCACTACACTTCAGGCAAGTCATCTGTTTTCCTCCCTCAGTTATTCCATGTAATCTGACATCTTTCGGTCCTTACGAACCTCTTATACTTTTGAGTGCTCAAGAGCAAGTTTTTAAAGATAGAGCCATGGGAAAATCATGGAAACAAGATCTAGCTCACGAGAACAAAAGTCAGAACAAGTTTTCATTCCTGTTTATATGAATGTTGGCTAACTTCACAGCTTCTTGTTGCTAACTCTTATTCATTCATAAGTCTAGTTTGTACAAAGAGAAGGAAAGAAGGAGGAAAATGTTGCCCAGAGAGGTTGCAGAGTCTCCATCCTTAGTTATGTTGAAAACCCAACTGGACGTGGCCCTGAGCAACCTGTTCTTGCTGACCCTGCTCTGAGCAGGGTGGTTGTACTAGATGCTGAACCAGCGGTCCCCTTCCCACCTCAGCCCTTCTGTGATTCAACAAAATGGTACAAATTGCTCCTTAACCTCTGGCCAGACACTTTAGCAAGGCAGTCATTCCAACCTAAAAACAACCCATGAAGCTTAGGGTGGACATGCAAGGACCACACTGGCAAGCACTACATGCATATCTTTAAAAAGAGGATGATCATACTGCATTCTGAGGATGAAAAAACCTGCCTTTGGAAGTACAACTCCTATTGCCATAAATGGGACAAAGCTTCAGTTTGAGAATGTTGGCAGCTATACACTTAATGGAAAATGTTTTTCTAATCTCAAACTTCAAATGAAAACTGATCTCCTGAATGTGCAAGGAGTAAGTTCCTCATTTTTCCCCATAGGTCTAGCATTCGAACAACTGGCAAAGTACAGTACTATTACCTGAAGGAACTAGGAGGAAACTTCACTGGTGCTGTATTAGAGACGCGATACTTGAAACAGGACTGCACATTCTACATTCTTTGTGCAGAATAAACTGCAGTAAGTGGAAATAGAAAGAACATATGCACTTACTGACTAATGCATATACTTCTGTGTTCAAAAAAACCCTTTAGATAAAAGAACTTAAAGCCATTCAATTCCTCTGTATCAGAATAAATGTATCCTCTGTATCTTTATTCCTTTATATCTGAATAAAGATATTGAAATATGCCTCAAAATCTGAAAACTTATGTAATGATCTTTCTCATTGGCTGTGACTATCTATTTGGACTCTCACATTTGTCCAGGGCCAAGATGAAATCCAAATCAGGATGCTTACCTCCAGTGAAAACCTGAAAGTTTAACATTTTATGTTAAATTTTAATGGAGCTTTTAAAGATGTTTTGTATTGAGAGTGCCTCTCTTTTTTGCAATCAGGGGATGTTTTACTCCCACAACAAAACTACCACCATGCAGAGATTCCCAAACTTCTAGATCTAGGAGTCATCATCCACTTCCATTTCTACTTTTCATGCTCCATTTAAATTCACATTCTGCCTTCTGCAGAAACACTGCTTAAGCAATCCCTTTCTAATTCCCCTTCTTTTTTTCTTTCTCTTTATGCATCCCTGAATAACCTAATGGTACAACTCTGCTGTCGTGGTTTAGGCTGGCCAGCAACTAAACACCACACAGCCACTCACTCATCCTCCCCCACT